AGCCTGTCATGATGTTTTATATATATATATATATATATATATTTTTTTTTTGTGCTGTTGAGTCACTACTCAACATAAAATCTGGGTCCTGAAGCAAAATCAGCCGAGACAACCGTAGACAACTTCAATATAACATTAAAAAGGCAGAGATCCCAAAAGTCTTTCTAGAGCTATCGCTATAATGCAGTCAGCCTTGCGATTACATCATGTCCTGTCTGCCTCTGACCTGCTTGGGCAGATGGGGGGCTGATGCAATCCTAATGATCTTACCAGAGCCAAGAAGTGTGTGCGTGTGACGTGCTTTTGCTATGGGGGGACCAGTCGCTTACATCAGCCCCTTGTGGAATCTCGCAACTCATGACAAATAGTGTCTGAAGGGTCCAATAAAAGGCCTGGTAAACTCTGCTTCAGATAATGAGCAGCGGCTGTTTGGCTAAAGAGCGTGGGGCGTGCTTATGCGTCACAGACTCTCATCTGTCCTTTCTCTCGATCACCAATCTCTGGCTTATTTTCTCCTTATTATAAAAAGTTTTATTTAACTATTTTCAGCCACCGGTTTCTCAATGCAAACTGGCTTTCCCACACAAACGTTCGGGAACAAAAGACATATTAAGGTTTCATTTGCTATTTTTAGTTAAGACAGCACTGAAAAGACGCTTTTACTTAGGCCGTAAAAGCAGGAGAAAACCGCAGGGTAGTTTGGTCACAGCAGTGACCCGCTAAGGCAAACCACATACGCACACATGAAAATATAAAGCATCAATGTGTCTAAGACAGAATAAAATAGAGGAAAGCAAGCAGAAGAAAGAAGGGAAATTCTTCTAATTTTATTTAAAACAATAGACGACACATCTTTTTAAACTTTCCATTGGCTCGTCTGCTGTCGTAATTTTACATAATTGCATATTGCTATCATACATTTCACATTGATGATGCTCCTGGGTTTAAACAGAATGCGGTGGAAAAGACTGTATTGGTTTTCCATGCTAATTTTCTATGACAAATATGCTCCAGTAGACCCTGAAGACTGTATTCCTAGACATTGAGTGCTTTATTTATACCACTGAGAAAGATCAAATGTATTGTTCTCACCTCTTTGAAATATTTATATGAGGTCCCAAGCTTCAAGTCAGACAAATTGCTGGTCAAATTTCAAGACAAATGACTTGTCAGGTTCTTATAAAGTTACTCAACAGCATATGCGATGAATAGATCAGAATAGCATCAGATTGAGATGCGTGCTAACAATACTGGAGTAACGTCTGATTGCGATGACTCTGGCATCGGGGGTAATTTTCCATTGGAGGTTCGCAAACTATTCCAGACATATTATTCAGACTTTAAAGATGGAATGCTGAGACTATTTTGATTGCATTTTAAAAGAAAGCTTAGACAGTGGGGTCTAGTTTTCGTGGGCAGACAGTGAGGGCATCCCTGGCTAGCTGCGCTGCGGTCTGTGATGTGGTGGAACGGTCTGTCATTACTGCTGGAAGGTAATGTGATGCGAGAGGGAACCTCCATTCCCACTGTCTCCTTCTCTCTCTCTCTTTTGGTCTACCATCTTCCATCTACAGCGATTTTACTTCTCAATTTTATAAATGACATATACATTACAATTCAAAAGTCTGAGTCATTAAGTTTTTTTTCTGGAAAGAAATTAATACCTTTATTCAGCAAGGGTGCATCAAATTGATCAAAAACTGACAGTAAAGACAATGTCACAAGATTTCTATATCAAATAAATGCTGTTCTTTTGAATTTTCTATTCATGAAATAATCCTTTTAAAAAAAACACGGTATCCAAAATAAAATAATAAGAAATGCTTCTTGAGCACCAAATAATTGTATTTTAGAATGATTTCTGAAGGATCATGTGACTGGAGTAATGACTGTTGAAAATCCAGCTTTGGCATTACAGCAGTAAATAACATTTTAAAATATTAAATTGTAATAACAGTGTACAACATTGCCGTTTTTCCTGTATTTTGATAAAATAAATACAGTCTTGATTTCTTTCAAAAACATTAAAAAAAATCTTACCAACCCCAAACTTTTAGATGTCGGACAAATATCAAAATCAGTAAAAAAGTTCAAATAAACAGAAGAGAGAGAGTTAAATTGACCAAAATCACTGTCTGTCTCCATAAGTGATACTATTTCAACCTAATACAATCTCTTGTGTGTGACGCCACCACTTAGATGAGGCCTCGAATTATGGAAGGGAGAGACAGCAAGATTAGTTTTTTTTTTTTCAGATCTCTACTCTAGACTTTCCTCTCAAGCTCAGCTCTTTGTAGGACTGCAAGAAACAAATATTTTGAAACTCAATTAAATATACATGCAAATTAAAGTACATTTGATGTATGCTAGATATTGTATAATGGTCTAGACTCTAGAGTAAAAAAAATACAAAATAAATGTTAACATTTATTTTTATTTTTAATACATTTTATACAGTTACACTAATGATTATGTTGCTTTTAGACCATTGTTTTCATATAATATATAGCATAAATTATATAAACGTCAATTTGCACATTGTTGGGAAAGATGTGGAATGTCTGATTAACTAAAGAAACTGTATTCAACTGATGAATCAATTTCAATCCAATCCAATTAATACGGCAGCATGACATGGCCTTCGCAGAGAATACAGTCCTATAGAATGCACTGCAACAAGCTCAGTGAAAAACTACAAGTTATACTTAATAACAAATCCATTAGTATTGATTAGTCACTGCAGCTCAAATTCTTTGTAAGTAACATCACTCTGTTCCCCATCCTCCCTTATTTTGCACTTTCTCTCTGCAAAGGTTCAATCTTTTCTCTGAGCCTTCCCTCCAGTGGGACGTCTCTAAGTGCTAGTGCGAACTGTGGAGCCTGTGGTCATAAGAGCCCTCTTCTCTACTCTGACTGAGCCATGAGAGTGGAGTACCTGCCTGCTCTCCACGCTGGAGAACTGATGAGGACACACTGTACTTCATCTTGACAAAGAAAATCCTCTTGCCTACGACTCAGCCACTGACCACGTCATATCAGAATACTTGCTCAGTGAGATGCAAACAAGTCCATTACCAATAAATATGAGCTATTATTCTTGAATGCCAAGGTCAACCTGACATATTTCAAATACTAAACTTTAACTAGATTTTACATGTGGTTACATGTATAAAATCTGCCACTAACGAATGCTTGCCAGGGTGTTGCTATGCAATTGCTAAGACATTCAGATTGGTTTTCAGACGTTTCTATGTGGTTGCTAGGGTGGTTGCAATAATGGTCCAAGTCAAAAATGCCCACCCCGAGTCTCTATGATATTCTGGTCTCTAGATATGGCCTTTGATCACAAATTTTGGTGAAAAATTCTGATCACTTAGAAAGCCACCAGTTCCGCAATGATTTACACATTAAAGTTTAACGGGATAGTTCACCCAAAAATGAAAATTTTGTCATCATTTACTCACCCTCAAGATGTTTCAAACTTCTATGAGTGTCTTTCATCTGTTGAACATAAAATAAGATATTTTGAAGAATGTTGGTAATCAAACAGTTCCTGGTAGCCATTGACTTCCATAGTTTTTTTTTCCATACCGTGGAAGTCTACCATACCTGTGTGCCACCAACCCCTATACCGGTTACTTTTAGACGAAACCTACGCTCCCTTTCCCCCTCCCATATTTCCTCCATTGTATCCTCCTCTCTTCCCTCACCTACCCATTTCTCATCTCTGGATGTGAATGCAGCAACTGACACTTTATGCTCTACTTTAACCTCTTGTCTAGATGATATTTGTCCTCTCTCCTCCAGGCCAGCACGGGCTGCCCCCTCGAACTCCTGGTTATCCGATGTTCTTCGTGAACATCGGACCAAACTCAGGGCAGCTGAGAGAAAATGGTGCAAATCAAAAGATCCGTCAGACCTAAGTATGTATCAGTCTTTGCTTTCATCTTTCTCTGCTGAAGTCCATACTGCCAAATCTTCATACTTCCACAACAAGATCAACAGCACTCCAGACACACGTAATCTCTTCAAAACGT